ATCTGGCTTTCAATGTGATGGTCTAATCTGGAATTGTCATCTCGCTGTTGCTTAATTTCCTTACAATTTGGTATCGGAGCTGGTTCATATTGCGCTTCATTGGTTCTTTGCAATAGCTATTGGTGCTTCGCATGAGGTGTGGGGCAGTGATAAGGCATTGGCGTTGAACATTGGGCGGCCCAGGGTAGAGTGGGCGCGCCAGGGAGCTATGTGGTGACATACGGGGTGTATGCTGGATGATGAGAGCTCGCTGATGTGGCATATTAAGCCGAGGTGGAACCACATTCTGCTGTTGGTTGTGCCGAGGCAAAGACCGGTCGTCATAATTGCACATCAGGTTACCGGTGAGAAATCTGTGGTTGGGCGCAGCATTTATGAGGTACGTTGCTCTCTTCCTTATCTACCCTCTTCGTTACTTCTTACCGTGAGGAAGTGAGTTCTGTCTTGAGAGTCCTCTCGACGTGAGGTGTCGCGATCGCTCAACCTTGAGAGTCGACATTCTTCCTGGGCAGCAAGCTGGTGGGAGACGGGCGAAGCCTCTGAAGGGCCCTGGACGAAGCACTCGGGTCACGGTCACCATGCCAACCCGTTGGGAATAGTACACGCATGCTTGGGCTGCAAGTCCTTGGTTCTGCTGCTTGCGCAATAGAGGTTATGCAGGGCATGCCAGCCCTTTGGACAAACGCTTACCAGACCGTCTTTAAATATTTCTGGCTGCCTCCTGATCAGCCAGATCAAACCAAGTGGAAGGCTCGTTGCATGCGAGGATAAATAAAGTGCAGGGGCTGGCAAGTTCGGCGTTGACTTGGGGCACAGGGGTGGGCCGGATTGCACACCTTCAGACACGCTGCTCAACCACATGCTCAGGACGTCAACACAAAGCGACCACTCAAGAAGGATACAGGGGGAGGGGGGATTCCGGTAATAGTTCATAGTGGCTATAAATAGACAATCTGCCATTCTCCAACAGGAGATGTTATTTTTGTTTTGATTACTTAGTTGTTACGGACTTGTCTAACAACTGACAGACAACTACAGACAGACTATGTCTTTGCTGTTATGCTATCTGTACTAGAGTAATCTAAAAATAAATTTAATATATCCTGTAGGACCTGACATTAGTTGTAATTACATCACCTAACTGTTTATGTACCATCCGACCGAAATTAGTAGTGATTCATAATCGGTTGTGTGCCAGGCTAAGGTAGGATTCAATGTGGATTCTAGTTTAGATCACACACACTGTAGCTCATGAGTGATGCAAGCACAAGTGAGGAGTTGTTAGTGGACGACCGTAGGACTACTCGTGGGACTGCCCGTAGTCGACCCTTGACATTCTTGGAGTTAGGTCCAGGAGACGAGAGAAGATTGCGGAGAGAGGCTAGAGAGAGAGCAGCGGCAAGGAGAGCGAGGGCAACTGAGGATAGTGCCAGGACTAGAGTTTCAGCTAGTACCGGTGCAACCATGGCTGAGGATTAAGTCAGAGTGGTCGCAAGCCTCTTCACAGTCCACTTCGTCAGGAGTAAGTCAGAGTGGTTCTCAGGGGTCCATTAGTCACACTGCTAGCTTGCGAGTCAGCCAGCAGACTCAACTCACGGCGGAGGATTTAGAAATCCGACAAGCAGAAGAACTTCAAGATGAGCTACAGCGGCAGTTGGACGAAGCAGCAGAGAAGAGAAGGAAAACCATACTTAGAAAGGCTAGACTAGGGAGTAGAATGCAGGAGCTAGGCAGGCTGGAAGGACTAGATGAGGCGGCATTAGACCCTGCTGTTCGTGTGCTGCGTAGTGCCTTACTTTCAGTGGCTGAAGCGCAGAATGTCCAGCAGGAATTGCTGGCCGAATTGGCGGCAGGCCAGAAACAAATCCTGGCTGAACTTCGGGCTCCTCGCACAGTGGTGAGGCAGCCGCAGTTTGCTGTAGTTCCCCCTGCGGGTGCGGGTCCTTCATCGATGCCGCAACACACAGGGTCAACTTTCTCTCCCATGTTTGGCATACCCCCTCCAGGTGGTTTAGTAGCAACTAGTGGTCCAGTTCATTCAGTCTCAGTTGTACCATCTACGACAGTGGTCACTACAGTCCCACTGTCAAGCCAGGCCCAGGTTAGTATGCAACAACCTGTTTCAGTGGCTATGCAGCCGCTGCAGCAAGCCCCTGGGCCCATGCAGCCTATGCAGTGGATGCCCAAGATTCCTCTGATGAGTCCCAAACCCTTCTCTGGTGATAGGAAGAAGGATGAGGACTTAGACACCTGGGTGAGGACTGTGCCTACTTATGTGAGGCACAAGCTCACCAGGCCTGAGCAGGAAGTTGTAGTGGCTGCCTCCTTTTTAGAGGGGTCAGCAGCCCGCTGGTTGAATGGCTTAGTGCAGCAGCAGGGCTACGGTCAAAACTTCGATGCCTGGGCACAGGCCCAGACATTGGAAGAGTTTGTACGGTCCGTGTATAACAGGTGGCATGACCCGCAAGGGGCTCAGAAGGCCACCGATGCAATCAACAGTCTTTGTTCCCGCAGGTTCAAGAATGTTAGAGAGCTAACGGACACCGTCGAACGACTACTCGTGGTACCTGGTGTGCGTTTTGACCAGCAGGTTCTCCTAATGGATTACCTAAGGTGCCTACCTGCAGAGGTAAGGACCAAGCTGGTTGATGAGGCCTATGTCGAACAGCACACCTTCGCTACTTTTAGTAAGAAAGCTCTGGACATAGAGGCAAAGCTGGGATCTGCGCATCAGGTATCCCATGATGGTAGGAAGAGACTCCCCCAGGACTAGAAGAAGAAGGGTCAGTTAATGTTCGTTGACCATGATGGTCAAACGACGGAGATTGACGATTTCCCAGATCTTGGGGAGGTGACGGAGCACGATGGGGCCAGTGAGACTTCGGATGGGGGAGTCGTGGCACCTATCAGGGAAAAGGCTAGGGGGACCAGGAAGAAGAAGGTAGTACGGTCCACGGGTCATGGCGACCAAGGGACACCCGCATGGGTGAAGATTGGTTTAGATTACGAGGTGTGGAGGGACCGAGTTGCCAGGGGCACATGCATGAATTGTGGCAACTATGGCCACACATCAAGGACATGCCGAGGCAAAAAGATCACAATGAAGGTAGCCTCACCAACAGTGGTGGGCTTATCTTCGAACTCTTGCAGTGCTTCTGCAAGCACTTCGCAGGGAAATTCCTCGAGCCAGTAGGAGTGTTAGCCGCTCTTACTCGCGCTGAAGTGGCTACGTTGCCTTCCCCACTTCAGGCATTGGCCAAGGCTAGTGACCCACGCATCGCCCCGCAGACACATTCAGACCCACCGACACTCTGTTCGAGAGATGTGTCCGAGGCCCTAGAGACTGAGTGGTCAGGGAAGGACCCCAGGGACTCTTGGGCGATGATCAGTAGAGGTCCAAAGGGTGAAGATTTCGTGGTAGAGGTTGATGTAGGTGGCCGTAAAGTTGGCGCCTTCGGACACATATGCTCTACACGAAACTTCATCAGTCGTGCTTGTGTGGATAGACTGCGCTTAGGGGACCAAGTGCAGCGGCTTTGCAGAACTGTAGCTTCTACGCTAGCCAACAAGCACCAAATGGTTGTAAAAGACTATGTCAAGGACGTAGTCTGCACCTTCTCCTATGGAGGAGGGGAAGTGAGTCATAAGATCTCCTTCCTGGTTAGCGACGAACTGCCATTCAATATGCTACTGGGTGTGTACTACCTCAAAGTCTCGCAACCGCAGTTTGACTGGGATAGAAAGGTGTTGATACACAAGTTGCCAAATGGTAGGACCGTTAGGCTGCAAAAGTACAAGGCTAGCAGTCTAGTGGAGAACTACGGCTGCATATGCGCTTCTTCTTTCTATAACTATTACAAGCAGAATCGCGAGGAGGGCATGTATCTAGTGTTTGTCTCTGAGAAAGGGGAGGCCGTTAAATCACCCCCAGAGATAGAAAACGTCGTCGCTCAATATTCACACCTTTTTGAGGAGCCCACAGGCGTGGTAGAAAGGGAGGTTGTCCATGCAATAGAGGTTGTCCCAGGTAGTAAGGTGCCTAGAGGACGAATCTATAGGATGTCTCCTGCGGAGTTAGATGAGCTTCACCGCCAGCTCAAGGAGCTCACAAAGAAGGGATGGATCCAGCCTAGTACCTCCCCTTACGGTGCGCCAATCTTATTTGTCCCAAAGAAGGGAGGTCCATTAAGGATGTGCATTGACTATAGGGGCCTCAATGCCATCACCGTAAAGAACGTCGAGCCCCTACCCCGCATCGACGACCTCTTGGATAGAGTGCAGGGATGCCGGTACTTCACCAAGATAGATCTGAAGTCCGGATACCATCAAATTGCCGTTAGACCTGAGGACCAGGACAAAACCGCATTTCAGACCAGGTACGGTCTGTACGAGTTTGTGGTGATGCCCTTTGGTCTATGCAATGCACCTGGTACATTCCAGCACGCGATGAACATGATATTTCATGACTACTTAGACAAGTTTATCGTCGTGTACCTCGATGATATTCTTATCTTTAGTAGGACTGTAGAGGAGCACGCTGAGCACTTTAAAATAGTGCTAGGTCTCTTACGACAGCACCAGTACAAGGTAAACTTGGACAAATGCGAGTTTGGTCGCACCAAGATCCTGTACTTGGGTCATGAAATCTCAGCAGATCGATTGAGGCCGGAAGATGCCAAGGTGGCCAGCATACGTGACTGGCCCAGACCTCAGACAGTTACTGAGGTCAGATCGTTTTTGGGGATGACGGGCTACTATCGTCCGTTTGTGAAGAACTATAGTACTATAGCTTTCCCATTAACGGATCTAACTCGACTTGACACCCTTTGGGAGTGGACTGAAGAGTGTGAGGCAAGCTTCAAGAAATCGACAAACCGTTTGTTGTGACCACAGATGACATCCAATATGGCATAGGTGCGGTCCTTGCGCAACAGGAGGGGCCAAAGTTAAGACCGATTGAGTATATGAGTAAAAAGATGCCTTCCCAGAAGTTAGCTAAGTTCACGTATGAGAGAGAACTCTACGCCCTGTACACAACGCTTGTTCATTGGAGACACTACCTCCTAGGGAGATTCTTCTATGTGAGGTCGGACCATGAGACTTTGCGCTAGATTAAGACACAGCCTGTTCTGTCGGACGCACTCAAAAGGTGGATTCAAGTGATAGACATGTATGACTATCAACTTGATCCTATCAAGGGTACGTACAACAAAGTGGCTGATGCATTATCACGAAGGGCAGACTATTTGGACGCGCTAGTCACTGAGTTTGGCATATCCGACGAACGCACTCGATCGCTGGCGGAAGCCTATCAGGGAGATCCAGTTATGTCAGAGATCATCCGTAGATTCCAAGCAAAGGACAAAAAGACTTCAGACGAATTTACGATGGTAGATGGCTTGCTGTTTCTCGAGAAGGCAAGGAATAAAAGATTGTGTGTCCCGTGTAGTGAGTCTTTACGTAGTTTATTTTTAGGCGAGTGTCATGACGCAACTGGTCATTTTGGATATAAAAAGACCTCAGCTAACCTAGTGCAGAAATTTTGGTGGCCCACTATGATGCAAGATACAAAAAGGTATGTTGAAACTTGCCAGGTCTGTCAAAGGGACAAACCTAGGACTCAGGCTCCGCTTGGGCTCATTAAGCCCTTGCCGATTCCTGGAGGTCCTGGTCAAAGTGTGTCCATGGACTTCATGGATACTCTTGTGACCAGTAAGTCTGGAAAGAGGCATATCTTCGTGATAGTGGACCGCTTTACTAAATATGCAAGACTGATCGCTATGCCAGAAACTGCAAAAACTGACTATGTCATCAAACTGTTTCTGGATCACTGGGTTAGGGATTTTGGACTTCCCACATCAATAGTGAGTGATATGGATGTAAGGTTTACCAATGAACTGTGGCAGGCAACTGCTGAACAAATGGGAACCAAGCTCCAAATGACTTCAGGGAATCACCCTGAGTCAAATGGTCAGGCAGAACAAATGAACCGGGTAGTACAGCACCTGCTTCGGCATTATATTAAGCCAAGTCAGGATGACGGGGACGAGCAGTTACCTCTCGTCGCCAGCCTGTACAATAACGCTGTGCATAGTACTACGGGTATGACTCCCAACCAGCTACATCTTGGTTGGAAACCCAGAACTGCGCTTGACTTTCTGCTACCGGAAAGACGACCCACTGCAGCCCCTGGCAGCATAGAGTATGCTATCAAGTATGAACAGATGCTGCAAAAGGCAGTGGAACATATTAAGAAGTCTCAAGATGCTATGATTACATATGAGAACAAACATAGACGGCCTTCTAACTTTCAGGTAGGTGAGAGAGTCTGGGTGAGGTCATCTGAACTGGGTCAGGAGATAGGGATCTCAAAAAAACTGATGCCACAGTACTTTGGGCCCTGGGAGATCTTAGATATTGTAGGGGATCAACTGGATGGGCCTTCATACGTGATTCGCATCCCTGCGCACTTGCGGACTTACCCTGTTCTCCATGCATCCAAGCTGGAACCTTTCGCTGCCACAGACCAGTTTCCCTCTCGGAGATCAATGCTGCCCCCAACCATGGATGGCGAAGTGGACATTGACCACATTGTCGAGCACCGGGTGATGCCTGTTCCTCGACCATCCGGCAGAGGACGCCCTCCTAAACCGAGAATGCAGTATCGTGTGAGCTTCAACTATCATCTGGATCCTAAAGAAGATCGGTGGTTCACACAAGAAGAACTCATGAGAATAGCACCTCAAGTGATTGCAGGCTATGAAAGACTACTCAAAGGGAAAATGCCTGCAGAATAAGAGACTTCTCAAAGGACCTACAAAGTAAAGGAGGAGGGAATGCGAGGACCTGGGTCCTCGGTAGGCCTATGGGGCCCTGTTTGCAGCATTGCCCGCCCTACGTGAAGGCGGAGGTGCCCGCCCTAAGTGAAGGCGAGCCTGACATATCACAAGAGGCCCTCGACTGTCAATTTCATATTTGGGGTCCAGGTAGTTGCGACGCGCCAGTTGGTTGAAAGAAACTCAGGCCGGGCAACACAGACATTTCCACGGCCTTCCGGGCTTTTCCAAAGAATGCAGGCCCTGGGCGTGATTCGCAGCCTCATACAGAGACAGTTGGGCGCCCAACCGAACGAGGCCC